AAAAATTAAGCACAGAAATATTTGCATATGTTTTGCCAAAAAAGAGACGCGCAGAACAACAGGAGGAGCCAATTAGAAAGTAACTTGAAAGTTCCAGACATCAGAGAATGATCATCTGTGCTTAATTTGAATTTGAGTCAATGCTGCTGATATAAATATATTAATCAGCCCTGTCGAAAGAAAATCAATCAATTTATTTTTCTGGCTGGACAGATTACACCATTCCTGCAATTTCCTGAAGTGTCTTGATTTATAGGAAAAGCATGATAAAACAGACTGGTAAAGATGAATTACAATGCAAGTCTACAGGAAAAGAGATAACATTATATTTTAAGAAAACATTTTGATTTTATGAAAAATGTTAGAAAAAGCAAGGTCACGTGTATAACAATATTAAGGTTGCTTTGGGAAAAATATTTTTGCTAAATTAAAATAAATTGTAAGTGGCAGTACAATAGTCCAGCAGTTCCATAGAAATGTCTGGTTAGCACAATTGAAAGTAAAGAAGTCAGTCAATGAAAATAGTTATTTTAGAAAGCGTCTCTACCTCATTACTGTTAGACAGACCACGTCCTCACTGCTGAAGGCATTGTTATTTTGGTGTAACCCATTGTGAGCTTCACCATAATGAAAACAACCACACAATACAAATGAACACAGAAACCAGAGGAAAATTGAGCAACTGAAAACTCACATATACAGGAAGAACAGAAATAGAAGCCATTCTCTCACCTGAGACTAACAGAAACTACTGCTTCCAGAACATCAACAAAGCCACCGCTGACTACTTGACTTGAAACCTACTGTAACTGGTAATGTGTAAGTTAGAGGATATATATCGGTGAATACAAAGCCACTATTAAGTGACCCACCAGGGGTTCTTAAAACTTGGACGCAACATCTGAGGAAAAATCCTACAAAATAATGACCCGTTGCTAACCCACCTCTAAAAAAATGGACACAATTCCTGTTTTTATGGAAAGGCTGTTGGCAAAGACCTCAAATAGTCAGAGTATTTGGAAAAGAGAGAAAGAGGCCTGTTAGCCGATTCATCCTGTCATGCATGGAAACATATGGGACTTCCTGTCATACTGAAATAATAAGGTTAATCGCAACAATAGACTCAAAGCTGCTCCAACATTTTCCAATGTCCTGTGAAACTGTGTGGCAATGAGCAAAACATTCCAAAAGAGAATCCCAACATTTCAATCAGCCAAATACATTTTGACTGGCAGTCAAATAATCGTTTATTTGTATACTGTAAATGATTACTAAACTACACTGCGCTAGTTCCAAGTCGTATCGCTACTCTTTCAGTTTACATAAAATAATTTCAACTCAGATTAATATTTCCATGTATGTATGTCCATGTATATAAATATTTTTTATTTGGTAAGTAGTGGCGGTTTGGTTGTGATCATGACCAGCAAACTGTACATCATACCTTGTTTAAAAGAAAAGAAAAGAAGCAGTGCCCAATTTTAAAGAGGTCAGCTGCAGCAAATTGCAGGATCTGAAATATCATCATTAAAAATTTTATTTTTATTTTTAAAACTGATTGTAGAAAATAAACTGAATCACAAAATTAAAAACAGAAAATAATATATTAATTTAATAATTTAAAGTAATGATATAATATAATATAATCATTTGAAATCAAACATTAAAAAAATACAGCGGTAAATTTCACCTTCTGACTCCTGCTTGTCTCTCGAGTTGTCTCTTGGGTCTTTTTCTTTTCAGTCTAATGGAGATACTGAAACTCTCCAGCTCAATATCTGCATACAAACCACAACCCTTGTTTTTGCTTGTATCAGCAAAAAAACAACACTAGGAGAGACCAGCCTACACTGGATTATTTTATAAGAAAGGTGACCCCAAAATAGCTCAAACAGCAGTGATCATAAATTAATTTCACTCAGTGTATGTACAATGTTGCGTTCACACAGAAACACAGAGTAATGTATTCAAATCCATGCGTAGTCACATGCCTCCACATGGAAATGTGTAGAGCACACCCAGGAGGAAATGCCCAGCACACACATATACGCAATAGCAGCTGTAAGCATCCATAGACTACAGCCCCTACGGCAATATATGAGATATGAATAAGTACTCTTTCAAAAAATGCATTTGGTTATGAAGTGTGTTTGTATAAATGTATGCAAGGTCAAACTGAAATAATATGCCAATTGATTTCATGCTATGAGAGGTCTGTTGTTCCAGAGATGTTTTAAGATTAGATGCTCAGATATGGATGACACACACACACACACACACACACACACACA